GGATGTGAAACGGAAGGTGAAAGCTGGGGATCCCCCGAATACAGTGCGTCCCATCGTGCAGGAGTTGCTGGCTAACCGGTTTAACCGTGCTTTGGCTATTTATACGGATGGTTCTAAATGCGAGAACATAGTTGGAGCAGGTATATTTAGTAGCAGTATTCAGCAAGCAATAGGTCTCCCGTCACAATGTAGCGTGTTTTCGGCGGAGGCCTTTGCAATCAAGTCGGCCGTCATCGCTGCAAGAGCATCAACCGAATGTGTTATAATTCTGTCTGATTCGGCCAGCTGTCTTTCGGCTATAGGGAGTGGTAGATCGCAGCATCCGTGGATCACTACGTGTACGGCCGATCCACCTTTGTTGGATCCCTGGTCATGCCGGAATTCGCGGTAACGAAGAAGCAGATCGTCTAGCCAGTGAAGCACGAAACAGTCCACCAATCAACGTCGCCGTACCAAGGATTGATTCGATCAAGAACATGAACCAAGTCTTTCGTCAGCTATGGGAAGCACTTCTTCTTCTTCTTCGCATTTCAAGCTTCATATCGCATATTAGCTTATTGCGTGCTCTCAACTTAGTGTTCTAGGTGCACTTCCACAGTTATTAATTGAGAGCTTTCGATGCCTGTACCATTTTTGCATTTGTATAATTGTGTGGCAAGTCCAATCATACTTCTATGCCCAGGGAAGTCGAGAAATTTTCCAACCCGAAAAATTCCTAGACCGGACCGGGAATTGAACCTAGCCACCTCCAGCATGGTCTTGCTTTGTAGCTGCGCCTTTACCGACTGAGCTAAGGGAGGCCTATGGGAAGCACGTTGGGCACAATTGACAGATGTGAAGCTGAAGGAAGTCAAAAGGGAAACGAAGAAGTGGATCGATCAGTACAGCTCTGCCGATCAACGCGTACTCACTCGTCTGCGCATTGGTCATACTAGGGTTACGCATGAATTTTTGCTGAAGAAAACAGCTCCGCCAGCATGTGAATGCTGTGGGACCGTAGTTGACGTTCGTCACATTATTCTGCACTGCAGAAAATTTGAAGCGGCCAGGACGAAATACGGAATTGATTCCACAAGCCTTTTTACGGCGTTACGCAACGACGATGATTTTGAGAAGCGGTTGCTGAAGTTTCTGCATGAAACCAAACTTTATCGGAAGCTTTGAAGGGCGAAGATAGAATGGAAAGGAAAGTGCAGGATATAGGAAGAAAACGAAGCGGAGGATGAAGAACAAACAAGCGATGCAGAAGAAAAACGAAGTCTGAATGGAAGAAGATGTCGGACAGGAAATGGAAGAAGATGCAGCGGAAGAATGTTACCGATGAATGTTGGAAGCAAATGAGTTCATGAAGAAGATGCTGAATGGAAATTGAAGAAGATGGAGTGAAAAAGGATGCAGATTAAGCAGAAAACGAAAGTACTACAGAAGACATGAATGAGTATGAAGATGCAGAAGAATGGAGATAAAAATGAAGCGCAAGGAAGGAACGGAGAAATCGAAAAATAATGTGGAAAAGATATATGGAAGATCATGAAGAATGAAGATGGTGAATATATATGTATAGAAGAAGTAAAGAAGAAATTTATGGAGAAGAAGTGTAAACCATGAGATGAGCATGCAGACGATGAACCAGGAAACGAGCAAACGATAAGAAAGCTAAGTGAATTTTGAATTGTATCGTAAACACTAACACTCACCCTCACACCACTCTAAACACACCCACACACTGTTTACACAAAAACCAATTTAACTGACATGAATGCATCCGCAGGATGTAAAATGTCACTAATAAAGAACAACAACAACAACAAATTTTGAGATATTTTGTACACCACTTTTGGGAGCTGAACTAAAAAAAAATCTTAATAATAAAGGCAACAAGTTTTGTCTCAGACGTCACTTCGATCATGTAACATTTTTTTCAAAAATTTCAAAGATGCCATTTTGGAAATTTAACAAGGCTCCAAACGGCCGAATTTTAACCAAAATGTGAACCATTCTGCCCATAACAAACTTGCATATCGTAGAAGTCATTTGGCTGCTCCATTACAGGACTGTTGTTGATGACACCATCGTTAAATTGTAGCAACTTTGTCACTTTCGCTAATGCGTTATTTCTCTTCTATTCTCCAGTTGATTCAAAATGCTGAACCTAATAAAACACGGAACATATGAAAGAAAAAGCAAAACAGGCTACCACGGTGAAATATTCCAAAAACAAATTGCAGTCGCTTTTTTTCTACGGATGCGGAGAGACAGTTTCAGATTGGCATATGAAATGTCAGTAGCCGACAAGTATGATGACATAGTGATCATTGACGACGGACGTGAGGTGATACACTTCCTCCAGGTAAAGCACGCCCTTGCCAAAGATGACAAGGTAAATGATATCGATTTGAATGCACTATTTCCGACCGTGGTAAAAGATCAACACAACGGAGACTTCAGTATTTACAAGTATCTGGAATCCTATCTGAAAGTAGTTGAAAATTTGAAGAAAGACCAATACAAAAAGAAGTTCTATATACTTACTAATAGGGAATTGAAAATCTCCGATGTCGATTATAAAGACATAAACAACAGAAAGAAAAAGAAGAAGAAGAAAATAAGAAGAAAACAAAACAACAATAAAACGGTGTGTACGTGGGTGACGACTAAAGAGGTAGAAGTAGATGAAATCCTACGATTTTCTGGATCCAAGGCCCGACACCTGAAACTGAATCGAACCAAAAAAGCTATTCAGGTGTTGAGCGATTTTATCAACAAAGATTTTGCAAACCTTAAAGAGGCAATCAAAGAGCTTTTCAACAATGGAACCGTCAGTAAAATTTTAGAAACCTATAGTACTCCTCTGAAAGACGTTTTAACAATAAAAAAGAAGTATTGCAGTTTTTTAGATAGCTTCAACTCGGAAAGCGAGCAATTCAATGTTGCCCAGTTATTTAATGCTCTGAAAAAAGATAAGTTTGATATGAAGAAGACCGTAAAGGTGAGTAACTTTTTACTAAAAAATTCAAGGGTGAAACATTTGCCACGTTTTGTTAGTGAGGAGGAAATTTTGCCATTCTTCGACGACTTTTCTCTATCGGTGGGTCAACCATATGATTTCCATCCAATTATTGAAAGCGAGCTGTGGGCGTGGTGTGAGACGTGGATCTGTCCTGATATACTCAGAAAATTGAGAAACATCGATCTGATATTTAGAGATCTGGTATTAAAATTTGATCAACTCAATAAACCTAACAAGAATAAAATGAAGGCAACTTTGAAACAAAGTGATATACTAAACTGTCTTAGTGAAATTCAAAATGATAACGATTACCTTGAAGGTAAGGAAGCAAAACAATTGCAAAAATATTACATCAATCGCCGTATTACATACAATTATAGTAAACCGACCAATGACGAAGATGTCTTTGAAGTTGAGAAAACATGTATGGAAGACAACATTGAGGAACTTTCACGACAGATGAGTGACGCTCAGTTTGTTGAAGAGCTTGGGAAAACATTTGAAGACCATCAGATCATCGTAGTTCTGGCAGACCCCGGAATGGGGAAGACTAGCTTGCTTCAGTTTGTAGCGTTTGAAGTGCAGAAGCAAAATGCTGTCGTTGTACTTCTGGTGTATTTAAGCGAGTTGGTGATGGAGCTCAGAAAAGTAGAACACATTTCAAGCTTGGAGGGTGTGCTTAATGTACTCAAAGTGATCCTTTCAAAGCGATATTGCGATGCCATTAAAAATGCCCCAGATGAAAGGGATGGCCGAGGCTATTCCATTCTTATAGAGATAGATGGCTTCGACGAGATCCACTCCACGTACACCAACAGGGTGATTGAGATGCTGGAACAACTCAAGTTGAAAAAGAGCATTCGAATCATCATCAGCGCCAGAAAACATATGCAAGTATTATTAGAGAGTAAATTTAATGTAAGATCTATGTTTCTGGAGCCCTTCAGTGTGGAAGACCAAATCAACTATTTGAGAAAGATGTGGTACGACCCAGATTTAGATGAACATTGTTTTCAAAGCTACTCGAATCATATTTTAAACAAATTTAAATCAAATATCCCTTCAAATTATGGAGAAATTTGTGGTGCGCCTCTCATGGTAAATATGCTGGGGGAGGTTTATTTAGAAAATTTTAAAAATTACCATTCATTGAAGAAACAGAACACAAATCAGCTCGTTGATCTGACTAAAGAAAAAATGAATATTGCAAAGTTGTACGACCAGTTTGTAAGAAAATGTTTTCACAAGAAATTTATGGAAACATTTAAGCCTAAATTTGCTCTGAGCGACGCTGAATTGGATTCGTTGATGGGTGATTATATTTTGAAGCATCAGTTGTTAGCTATGGAGCTGCTAAACATTGAAGTACGTAAGGAATTGTTCAAAAATCAATATTATAGAGAAATACACGATCAATTTAAAAGACGATGCGAACATGAATCAGATACATCACAACTGGTTCATGTAGTCCAGCAGAAGGTTAATTTTTGCCATCGGTCTTACAATGAATTCTTTGTGGCAAAATATCTATGCGACAACATTTTTACGTTGTCAGGAGAAATTTTCATACGCATTTTGTCTACATATCCTGTTGTTCGAAGATTGTCTATGACCACAATGGAAGGAAACCAGGTATACCTCACGATCTTAAGTAATCTGTGTGAAATAAGCTGGGAGATTGCACTGTGGGCATGTGAGTGCGACTGTTTGAGTATCATTTCCTCTTTTGAACCAAATTTTAAATCATTCTCAACAAAAAACCTAACGGCTATGTTACTGGTTGCTGCGAAAAGTGGGTTTGTTGAAATATGTGAATTCTTATTAAAAAATGAAGCTGACGTGAATTCAGTGGATGAAGAACAAAGGACTGCTCTTCATTTAGCAGCTCAAAATGGACATAAAAACGTAGCAGAACTCTTAATATCAAACAATGCTGACGTGAATGCAGTGGATGAAAATCAATGGACTCCTTTGAATTTAGCTGCTGAAAATGGACACGACCAGTTAATCCAACTGTTGATTAACAAAGGTGCCATTGTTGACAAGAGTTCCATTACCGGTAGAACTCCACTTCATAGTGCAGCACAGAATGGTCATAAGAACGCTGCAGAACTCTTGATATCAAACAATGCTGACGTAAATGCAGTGGATGAAAAACGATCGACTCCTTTGCATTCAGCTGCTTTTTTTGGACACGATAAGTTGATCCAACTATTGATTGACAGCAAAGCCAATGTTAACATTTGTTTAATTGTCGGTACAACTCCACTTCATAGCGCAGCATTCAATGGTCATAAGAACGTAGCAGAACTCTTGATATCAAAAAATTCTGACGTGAATGCAGTGAATGATAATCAGTGTACTGCTCTTCATTTCTCAGCTTATAAAGGACACGACCAGTTAATCCAACTGTTGATTAACAAAGGTGCCATTGTTAACAAGAGTACAATTGACGGTAGAACTCCACTTCATAGTGCAGCACAGAGTGGTCATAAGAATGCTGCAGAACTCTTGATATCAAACAATGCTGACGTAAATGCAGTGGATGAAAAACGATGGACTCCTTTGAATTCAGCTGCTTTAAATGGACACGACCAGTTAATCCAACTGTTGATTAACAAAGGTGCCATTGTTAGCATAAGTTCAATTGCCGGTACAACTCCACTTCATAGCGCAGCACGGAATGGTCATAAGAACGTTGCAGAACTCTTGATATCAAACAATGCTGACGTGAATGCAGTGGGTGAAAACCGATGGACTCCTTTGAATTCAGCTGCTTTTAATGGACACGACCAGTTAATCCAACTGTTGATTAACAAAGGTGCCATTGTTAACAAGAGTACAATTACCGGTAGAACTCCACTTCATAGTGCAGCACAGAATGGTCATAAGAATGCTGCAGAACTCTTGATATCAAACAATGCTGACGTGAATGCAGTGGATGAAAACCGATGGACTCCTTTGAATTCAGCTGCTTTTAATGGACACGACCAGTTGATCCAACTGTTGATTAACAAAGGTGCCATTGTTAGCATAAGTTCAATTGCCGGTACAACTCCACTTCATAGCGCAGCACGGAATGGTCATAAGAACGTTGCAGAACTCTTGATATCAAACAATGCTGACGTGAATGCAGTGAATGATAAACAGTGTACTGCTCTTCATTTCTCAGCTTATAATGGACACGACCAGTTAATCCAACTGTTGATTAACAAAGGTGCCATTGTTAACAAGAGTTCAATTACTGGTAGAACTCCACTTCATAGTGCAGCATGGAATGGTCATAAGAACGTTGCAGAACTCTTGATATCAAACAATGCTGACGTGAATGCAGTGAATGAAAAACGTTGGACTCCTTTGAATTTAGCTGCTCAAAATGGACACGACCAGTTTATTCAACTGTTGATTAACAAAGGTGCCATTGTTAGCATTAGTTCAATTGCCGGTACAACTCCACTTCATAGCGCAGCACGGAATGGTCATAAGAACGCAGCAGAACTCTTGATATCAAACAATGTTGACGTGAATGCAGTGGATGAAGAACAATGCACTGCTCTGCATTTCGCAGCTCAAAATGGACACGATCACTTGATCCAACTGTTGATTGACAACAGTGCCACTGTTGACATTTGTTCGATTACCGGTAGAACTCCGCTTCACTTCGCAGCATTGAATGGTCATAAAAATGTTGCTGAACTCTTATTAGCAAACAATGCTAACGTCCATGCAACGGATGAAGCAAAATTGACGCCTCTACATTTGGCAACTGAAAATGGGCACGATGCGGTAATAAATTATTTAATCGATCATGGAGCGAACGGCAACTCTCGCATACACACTTAGAAATAACTAATGTTACACGTGACAGAAAAGTTCGTTGCTCGACGAAAAGTATGTTTTATTGAGCTATATTTCGCGTCTGTTATGACTTAAATTTATGTAAAAATTGACGCTCGTGTATGTCACTCTCAGAGCACCTAAATTTTCATGATTTTTTTCTAAGCGATTACATACCGGTTGAGTTCCGCTTCATAGCGGAGCATGGCATGGTCATAAAAATGTTGCTGAGCTCTTGCTGATGTGAAGTGAAGGTGGTGGACGAAGATCAATGGACTGCACTTCAGTTGCAGCTTGAAATGGACATGCTCAGGTTATCTAACTATTGATTAACAAGTTGCCAAACACCAGCACTCCGGATATTGAAGGGGACTCTACCTTTTCGAAGCTCTAAAATTAGCTCGAGTTTTTTTTTTTCTTTTTTTTTCAAGCAACGTGTTTAACGCATCATTTCTATAACGCCTGGCTAGCCTATCAGTGCGAAATTGACATGAAAAAGAACACGCTTAGAACGAAAGCCTGGCTGTACTTTATCTCGCCTTGCTTTGCAGCATCGGTTTTCAAGTTGAAACGTAGCCTCACCATAATGACTTTCAATTCCTTTCACCTACACTTTGTCACCTGCTCTCGTCACTTTTTTAAAATAAACATTTGGAGGAAAGATAGTACGTGTAATCTTCAAATGTTTACATGTGCAAAATGCATTAAACATATATTATGATTTCTGTCATATAAGCCGCGCAACTTCGAGATTGACCGCCTCCATGACAGGCTAGCTGATGAAAGTCGAGTGCTCTTTCACTCTTCCGCTTCACCGAAGCTTGAAAGGAACACGAATGATGCGATGGGAGAAAGAAAGAATAGCGATAGACAATTTGTTTATAGACGTCAACTGAGGTGCTAGAATGATGCAAAGCTGCTCGACTGCAACAGACAAAAGAAAACTAGCAGTTTCTTCGTCGTATGGATTCTGTCGATTGAAGTCTGTATTGTGACGCCCTGGGTAGAATCAACAATCAATACGAAACTAACGATTTCAAATTGGCTCACTACTTGACTAGCCTATTGGTCCCAAGCAAATCGATTGACGTACCCCATTCTAGTCAAAATTCTAGTACTACACAATGTTTGTTTTGATTCGCTATGAAAGTTTGACAGATAAAATGAGGGGTTAGTGGATTTTCGAGGGGTGAATCGATTAGCTTGGGACCGAAGAGAGTACCAGAGCTGAGCCAAAAAGTTGAGCACGTAATTTCGGGACCTTCTAGTGTTAGAGTTACCTCTATGGTAGAACTGCGCTTCACATCTCAGCATTCAGTGCACAGTAATAGGATTTCCAAATTTCGCGGAAATCAACTACCGGATAGAGAATCACGTTCACTCACATTCACTTAATGTTGGCAAATGAAATAAATTAGCTAAAAAATTTCGAAAATACATAATAGTTAATTACACCTTAACAGACTGGCAACCTGGGATTATCAAGGAATTTCAAAAGACCTTAAAAACATGGAATTATAAAGATATTTTGCCAAAAATCAGGGATTTTTTTTTATAAAGTATGTTCAGTAGAGTCCCAGAATCATGAAAATGTCTCTAGTCCTGTTGCGAAAATCTAATTTTCTGAGCTCTTTGTAGTCTATCGTCTTATTTGTGTTGTGACAGCTGAAAGCTATAAAGTTTACTATTATGAGTTTGAAGTTATTTTAATTCAATACAACCTACATACCATCGGTCTCAAGCTTCGTAATTCACAAATTCAATATGTTTAATAAATTCAACATAATTTTAGGATTAACGTGTAATTAGTTTTAACTAATATTATCTAATTAGGCATTATAAAGTATGGATTGTAATTAACTTGTAAAATTGTGCTTCTATTCACTTCCTAACACAATGATGACAAATCAATAACATGATGATGATCTCTTATCAATCAGACGTTTCGCCACCACGATCCATTATCTCCCATATTATCTTTCGGAAGGTTACGATTGTACGAGGGGTCGTCGAATGGAATCACTTGTCTAAACATTCTCCCCTCGTGTCGCTCGAACACTGCTTCTACGTCACCGACTCCGCTTATTTCAGCTCCGAATTCAGCATCACCACGAACGTCAAGAACTGCAAGTTTACAAACAGGTTTCCGCAAAACTCCACTAAATGCCTCTTGTTGTTTTGAACTAGCGCATTCTCCTTAATTAGTGTGACGTATTGGAACCATTTAGTACGCGATCCAACGATGCCAAAACTCATCCAGCATGGGTTATACCAGCCTCTAACTTCCTTTTAAGGTATGTATCAACAATAATCCGGACACCTCAAAGCTTAGGTAAAACACAAATTTCGCATTATATTTCAACCAGGACGAAAGAAGGAAAACATTCCGGCATTCAGGGTGGAGGACTTCCCGCCTCTTCGTGATACGCAACACGGTCAAGCAAATCCACGGGTGCAATCCGGCCCCGTCAAGAAACGTCTGGTGCCTCAGCTGGACAAAGCTCTCCATCCCCCCCTGGATTCTGGAGACAACCACCAGCACAAAACGCCAATCCCGATCTCTTCTCTGCGGATGAGCTGATGAAGATTTTCGTCGACATGACCGGTGCTCTTCGTCAGTGCCGCAGCAAGCCCGAACAGATCCAAGTGCTCGGTAAGTTTATTATTCAGTATGGTGTCTAAACCGATAACTGTCGTCACATGGAACGCATGCTCTGTAAGAGCAAAAAGACTCGAGCTTGCTGACTTCCTCCGCAAGCAAAGGATCGACGTGGGCCTCCTAACAGAGACCCACCTTAAATCCGGTGACAGTTTTTGGCTACCTGATCACCACATTATCCGGCTTGATCGTATCGACTCCAGGGGGGGTGGGGGGGGGTGTTGCGATCATCATCAAGAAAGGAATCAAGTTCTGCACGCTGCGCATATTCGCACTTCTATCATCGAGGCCCTTAGTGTGGAGGTGGAATCATCAACCGGAAACGTCCGGTTCGTCGCCGTATACTGCTCTCGTCAGTGTGCTGCCAGTAATGGATTGGGCATCCAATTCAAGCATGATCTGACCACCATCACTCGCACGAGCTCACGATTCGTCATTGGGGGCGATTTAAATGCCCGCCACGAAGCATGGCGGAACTATCAGCGAAATCAGAACGGACGTCTGCTCTTCGATCACTCGCAGCATGGGCTGTATACAGTGAAATTCCCTGATGAACCGACATTCATCTCTCCGGCGGGAAACCCTTCCACGTTGGACTTTTTTCTATCGAACATTAGACTATCCAAACCGATGGCGATCAACGATCTCAGTTCCGACCATCAACCGGTGGTGGCTGAAGTCGGCACCCACGTGGCACCTGCTCAAAGCCTGCGCAAAGACTACCATCATGTCAACTGGGTACAGTTTGGGCATGTGGTCGACAGAAACATCGATGAAAATCCGCCGCTTGACACCGTAGAGGACATCGACCGGGCACTGGAAGGACTCCACCAGGCCATATCCGTGGCTGACGAGACGTGTGTTCGACAAGTTCCTGTGAGGGGTAAGTTTGTTGCCATTGATTCCCACACCCAATTACTGATTCGCTTGAGAAATGTGCGTAGACGCCAGTTTCAGAGGACTGGAGATCTAGCGAGGAAACGTGAAATGGCCGATCTGAACAGGCAGATTGCTTCCAGAATGCACTCACTCCGAAATGAAAGTTTCGGGCGTGTTGTCCAGAATCTGGATGACCGCTTCCGTCCATTCTGGAAGGTAGCCAAGGTGCTGAAAACTCATCCCAAACCCGTTTCACCTCTCAGAGTCGGAAATGATGACAATCGGCTCATAACCCCACAAGAGAAAGCAAATGCGATTGGTAATCATATTGCTGCATCGCATTTGCTTGGCTCAACTATCCAAAGTCCGCTCGAAAACCAGGTGACGCAATGCGTCCAAAATGTAGATTACTTCCCTTGTGCCGTGCCTCCGGAGGATAGAATTACGGTAGAACAGATTTGCTCAGCGCTGAAATATTCAAAGAATGTGAAGGCCCCCGGTTTTGACGGCGTATATAACCTAATCATAAAAAGGCTTAGCGGGGGCGACCCTGGCGTAGTGGTTAACATCCATACCTCTCACGCCAAAGTCACGAGCTCAAATCTCACCCCCGGACAAGTCACGAATAACCCAAGAGTGTTAAAATGACTATAATAAAAAAAAAAAAAAAAAAAAAAAAAAAAAAAAAAAAAAAAAAGGCTTAGCATGAAAGTCTATGCAGTTTTAACTGCCATATTCAACAGATGCTTGGAGCTGCACTACTTTCCAAGCATCTGGAAGATAGCAAGAATAATACCGATCCGCAAACCCGGTAAAGATCCAGCATTGCCATCAAGCTACAGACCGATCAGCCTCCTCTCAGCGCTGAGCAAATTGTTCGAGAAACTCATTCTCAATAGATTGCTCAAGTTTGTGGAGGAAAACAATATTCTCCTACCGGAACAGTTTGGGTTCAGGAAGGGGCACTCCACCACCCATCAGCTAGTACGGGTGATGAACAACATTCGAAGTAACAAGGCTGTATCCAAGTCCACAGCCATGGCCTTGCTAGACGTCGAAAAGGCGTTTGACAATGTCTGGCATGACGGACTTATATACAAGTCGTTCAAGGTATCGTTGAATGGTTGTCTCTCCGATAAATTTTCCATCCCGGCAGGCATTCCGCAAGGCAGTTTGTTGGGCCCCTTGCTCTACAGCGTGTATACTTCTGACATTCCTCCCCTCGGAGACGGTTGCGTGTTTTTCCTGTACGCAGATGATACCGCGATATCAGTCAAGGGCAGAATGCCTCGCGAAATTACAAACAAACTACAACGATGCCTTGACACCTTTGCTGACTATGCAAAAACTTGGAAAATCAAAATCAATGCCTCCAAAACCCAAACTATCATGTTCCTCCATAGACAATCACCCAAACTGATACCGGCACCTTCTTGCACAGTAGTCATGGATGGCACAAGGGTTGAGTGGTCTGCTGAAGTTACGTACCTTGGAATGGTATTCGATGAGAAGCTGCTGTTCCGCTCGCATATAGAAAAGACGTTAGTTAAGTGTTCAAGCTTAGTTAGGTGTTTGTATCCGCTGATTTCTCGCAGATCCCGCCTCTCTAAGGTTAACAAACTGGCTGTCTACAATCAAATCATAGCACCTGCAATTTTCTACGCTGCACCGGTGTGGGAATCAAGTGCTCAAACTCACAGGAACAAAGTCCAGGTGGCACAAAACAGAGTGCTTAGGATGATACTCGATCGTCCTTTCGACACTAGAATAACAAATTTACACGAAGAGGCAGGCATTGCCAAAATAGATTCCAGAATAAACGAAATTAAGACTAAATTTGCACAAAAATGTAATGTATCAGAACATGCTTCGATAAGCAATTTGTATATAGTAGGTTAGGTGCATATAGTAGTTGTAGGTTAGTTGTAGTTGTAAATAGTAGTTATAAGTAGTTTCCCTTTTCCAATTTAAAACAAACCAATCCCACCAAGGTGGTCATTCTTAAAAACAGGCCTGATAGGACTAGAAACTTTAAATAATAATTAAAAAATTTAAAATGAACTAAAGTTGAAAAGACGCATCTGTGTCACTTGTTAATTCATACATGTAAAACCACACAAATACCAAAAATAAAGATAATTTAAAGTCAAAAAAAAAAGCATTATATTTCAATTGTAGTTGTTCATTTTAAATTCATGGGATATGATTTATAAATTCACGAAGTCAAAACATAGTTATTCGGTTTTTGCATAAAATTTTCTAACTTTGCGCTTAACTCCATCTAATAGGGTTTGAACAAACTCCTCAAATACCGTGGTGGTCGTCTTTGTCCAAATTTGTCGGAAGTGTTTGATATCTTTGATTCCTTGTTTCTTTCCAGAAAGCTTCCGCATCATCAGAGCCCAATATCTCTCGACTGGACGAGGCTCTGGACAATTTGGCGGATTTGCGGTTTTTGGTACAATATTCACTTGATTTGCTTCGTACCACTCCATCACAGTTTTAGCAAAATGACATGATGCCAAATCGGGCCAGAACAAAGGGTTTTCTTTGTGGCTTTTAATAAAGGCTAGCGATTGCTTCTGCAGGCACCCTGACTCTTTCGGCACCACGTTCAAATTGTTTGCCAAATAAGGTATTTTTTGGGAAATATCAATGCCTTCTCCGTCCTGAAATACTCAGCTGTAGCATTTTTGGCCATAGCAGAATAGAAAACCAGCCCTGGAAGCTGCTTGAAATCCTCCAGGACATAAGTTTCATCGTCCATAACAACGCATGAAAACTTCGTCAAATATTCGCAGTACAAACGTCAAGCCGGTGATTTTCCTGTCAAATTCTGTTTGTCGTTGCGATTTGGAACTAGTTTTACTTTATATGATTTCAGCCCCAAACGCTGTTTTGATTTGATTCGGGTTTTCCTTCAATCCTCTTCACCTTTCGGTCCATCATTTCTCGGTTTCCTCTCGACCGTCAAACGTTACGAAAATGAATTGAGCACACCGTGAACAGTGGATTTAGGTAAATCAATTTTTTTTGCAAGTTCCCGTATTTACAAGTCAGGATTTGCATTACGTACGTACAAAATCCGCTCGCGCACGGGTTTTTTCATTCATCGCCATCTTGAACACTAAACATGGAATGTTAACAACAAATCCATGTAACCAAAAGTTCTGATAAAAGGCTATTTGTGGCTTAAGTAGCTTGGTTGGTGGTGGTCTATAGAATTCTAAGCAGCCTCATTTTTAAGTCGTTATAAGAACTTGAAAGTTCCGGTATCATAATTGAAGAGCATTCCAAGCAGCTTCTGGCGGAAATTGAACGGAACTTTTAGAAAAAAAAAAATAAAAATGGTTTTTGTCCTCTACACCAATTCTATATTTAGTTCGCACTT